GTAGTTCTGACTCTACTTGTTCGGGAGGCATCTTACTTCAGTAGGAAGATCAGGTTTATGATGACTAAGTGACATTCTTAAATAGGAAGACTGGGTTGTGATGACCACAGCTACATTCTTTGAGAGGCCAAGGTGTGGAATCATGGGAAAGCAACATCTGAACTCCTTGGCCATTCCTCCTTAAGAGTTCATGAAAGTTGGTGGGGTTGTCCAAATTAGAATTGGAAAAATGGGATGATGAAACAGTCCCTATAGCCAGTCAGGACCCTTCTATTGTGACAGCTAGCACAGTGCTCATTATGGGCCACTGTACTAAGTCCTTCAGGAGCCCAGCTTATTATGTTACTACTCGATGGGTTTCATTTCTGACCAGGAGAAAACTGAGACTCAGACAGGAGGTGACTTGGCCAGGATCACACAGGGGGGTGAGTAACAGAGCTGAGTTTCAAAACCCAAGTTTATGTAATGCGAAAGCTCTTTTCCTTAAACCTTTCTGCCTGCCTGAGGACTATTCACTTTCTGTTGTACTTGGGAGCTTGTTGGAATGTGGTCTGTGATCACATTGCAGTTTAGAAGATGGGTAAAACAGGACAGTGATTCAGTCTAAGACTGAGGGCAGGATCTGGACCAAATCCTTGAGGTTTGGGGACAGTGGATGCAGCCAGCAAGTGATGGCTGCCAGAAACCCTAAGGTACTGTAGGTCAACTATACCTCCTTACATGGGCTTGGTGTCAGCTTACCGTGGTTTTCCAAACCACGGAAAAGAGGTAAAATGTATTGCATCAAGGTTGTATTGCATCCTTAAAATGCTAACTTTCCCGGTGCACAGAGTTTTGAATTTTCATCATTTAAAAAATTATTAATTAAAAGTTCTGGGGTGGGCTAAGCATGGTGGTACACACCTGTAACCCCAGCAGGTAGGAGGCTGAGGAAGAAGGATCGCTGTGAATGTGAGGCCAGTTTGGGCTACATACTGAGCTCAAGGCCAGCCTGAACTATGTAGCAAGACCCATTCTAAAAAAATAAAACAAAATCCTGGAGAAGAGCCATTATTCCTTATTCAATAAAAAGCAGCAGCTGAAGAATTCAGTGGCTAACAGGACCAGAGAAATCATGGTAACCAGTGGTAGGAGTGAGGTGAGAATTCATGTCCCTTCTTGGAATCCAGTTTTCATTTTCTTTGACTAGTAAACCATGGCTGAGATCAAACCCATTTCATTTTAAGCCCAATCTTAGGAGTGACATCTTCTGTAGGTCAAGAGCTGCTATTTTTTTCCCAAAGCACTTTCACGTATATGGCCTCCACCTGGTTTGGGGTTAGACTTTTTCATGCTGGTCTATTGATCAGAAAACGGAGGGCAAGAGGCTTGATCGGGTCCTAGAGCTGTTTCCTGGCATAGCCACAAGTCAGCCAGGCAGTCTTTCCTCCAGGACACACGGTCCTGCAACTGATCCTGCCTGAAACTGAGCAGGGTGGCTAGGGTTCCCACAGAGGTTATGACTCCCTGCCATCGCTAAGGCGAAGAGCAAATGTGAAGAAAGCTACAAAACTGTATTTTCAGAGATGGACACTGGCACGAAGATCAGTGGGGCCACATGAGTCTTGGCTTGGAGGTTGTCCTGCCCACTGCCCAGTCAAAGGACGTGGATGGCCTTTTCCTCCTTTCCCTGCCCCTGCCTCTGTCCCTCTGTCTGATTCCCTCCTCTTTCCCTCTCCTTGGTCAAAGCAGAGCTCATTAATATAACAAAGATCTACGGGATAGGACTCACAGTCCTCTGCTCCTTTGCTGAAGCTTTGAGTTTACAGGTTCCTTGTAATGCATCCTGGCAGATGCTCAATGAGTTGATCAGAGGGGACCCCCTGTAACTCCATGGATGTGGAGAGGAAGACACAGTCATGTCCCTGCTGAACATTATTTGTCAAAATTGTCATATTGTGCCTCCCATCCATAAGTACAGTATATGACCACAGCATCTAGAAAATTGGAGAATCTACAATTTAGAGGGATTCAGTGACAAAACATTCCCATTTTAGGCATTTATAGGGCAGGCCTGACCTTGAAGACAGAGAATGTGGGTTAAGAATTGAGTATCATTGCAAGCCTCCAGAACTTGGGTTAGGAAAGGATTAACTTTGGCAAGATTCAGATTCCTCTTAGGTACAGTGGCAAACCTAACACTATCCCCTACAACAGATTATTGTAAGAATAAAGTGCCATGTACCACCAGGCAAACAGTAGATGCTTGATAAATGTTAGTTTTCCTCCCAGCAGTCCTTTCTTTAGCTTCACATGCATTCCCAACTGAGTAATATTATTTGTAAAGCTCATTCTTACCTGAAGAAATGAAATTCTCTATACCTAAACTTTCCACTCAAAAGGCTAACAATTAACTCATGGAAGGAGCAAACACCATCAACTAATATGAGCCTGGTAATAGCTGTGCATGTGAAAGGTTTTATGGAGCTATAAAATCTAACTTCCCATTGATGATATCTTCCATCACTGCCCAGGTCAGAATGGGCATTGTGGGTTATAAATCAACCTTCCATTGCACTTAGTACAATTGTAATCCTATCATTAATCATGAGATTATTTGTTTTGTTTGTGCACTCTCCAAGAACAAAGACTGTGCCTTTTACAGTACCTGGCACATAGAAGATCAATGAATGAATGACAAATGAATGAACAAACAAAATGCTACCACCTCTATCTCCTTCCAGCCAAATGTGAATTCTGCTGGTGTTCGGGGGCAGGGATTCCTGCCTGCTGTATATGGAGGAGGAGGACAGCTGGAACTGTGGTCAGGGTCACCAGTGTGTAAATGGTTTCCCAGACCTCCTGACAACTCTTGCCTCCTTTCCTCCACACTCATCTGCCCTGTGACTCACCAGCCTCACCCTCATCTCTATTTTAATGGTGCTATTCCAGAGGGGCACTATTCCCAGGAGCCTGGGTGTGTCATTTGGTGGACAGTTGCCACATTTTGCATGCAGAAGGCCCATTTTCCACCTTAATCCATTGAGTAATGGGTTAGTTATTGGCTGACAACAGCCCTCCTTGGTTATGGCAAAACAAGCCCTTACCTGGTCATTAACACAAGCTCCAGGAAGCTGGGAAAGGGTTCCAGAGGTGGGAATTTAAGCCAGGTAGGTGTGTGTTGGGGGTGGGGGGGGGCTTGACATTCAGCTTGAATACTTTAGAAGTTTTATTATTATATGCATTTCTTTTTTCCCCTCCTCTGATCACCTAAGAATAATTTTTTAAAAATTCACTCAAAGCACTTAAGACTATTGAATTTCAATTTATATTCTTGATTCTCTTTTAATTGCTCTCCATTCTTTACTAATTAACCAAGTTTCTGATTCTAACTTTACTGGTTTACTGAGTCCAGCCTCTTTCCCCCTTTTTACCTCTCTATCTTTGGGATCCCTTAAAGATTCATGATGGAGGAGAAACTGAACTTCACATTTAGGCAGACACAATGGGGGAAACTCTCTGGCAGTATGCATGGCCCAGTTTGCCCTGAACAACCAGCTCAAGACGGCAAGTGATTTCTCCTCCACAGGTTCAGTGTCTGAATCTCTGGCCCTGCAGTGGTTCCTACAGGCTCTTGTGTTACCCTAGTCGATTTCATCTTGTAAACAGAATGACCTTAAAGACAAAAGACCCAGGAACAAGATCCACAAACAAACACTCCTTCCCCACTCTAGAGCTTGCTCAAGGCTTTTTATTGGGAGGAAAAGGTCATCCTTAAGCCTACCGTGGTCTGGAAGTGGCTCTGACAAGATTGTCATTGTAATAACTTCCTTAAAGAGTTTTCAAAGCCTTTTATTACCCACAGGATAGCTGAGCTGATAAAGTCCAAAGGACAGTGACACTCCTTGAAATGTGGATCGCATCTGCTTCCTGGTGGTTCTCAGCAGGGAAACTGCTCCATTTTTCCAAAATCAAGGTGAACGAGTGGCTTCACTGGTCACTAAGGCTATCTTGAGAGTCAGAACAAATTTAAGATTGGTAAGGGCTGGTCTGGTTGCTGTGGTCAAGAGAAGGGGTCATGACAAACCCAGGGTCCTGTACCAGGGCTGGAAATGGGCACCCTTCTGCAGCCAATGTGGTCTGAGCCAGGTGTGTGGACAGCAGCAGGTAGAGGTACAAGGGGGGAAAGAAACCATGTCCTGCACCTGGAGCTGTGCAGACTCTGGGTGTGCCCAGAAAAGCCAGAAGCATAAATGACCTCAGTGGTGGGGACAGCAAGTGTCAGTAGCAGCAGGAAGAAGATTAAGGGGGTGGTGGGGGCAGCAGGTTAATAAGACCTTGACTTGAGCTAAACACAAAGGTGGTCAGCAGTACTTGCATGCACTAGACATATGAAAGCACAGATTGCAAGCACAGGAGGAGGCGAGGAAAGTGGGCAGCAGTGAGCCACGGGGTGGGGGTGGGTGCGTGGGGTGCTAATACACAATGGAAGCAGAGCAGACCCATCCTAGACCAAAATGTACACCAGCTACTCCAGAAATTCTCACCTGAGGGCAGCCCCTTGGCTGTTGGTCGCTAACCTGCGCCTAGTCCATGGCTGTTGGTCGCTAACCTGCTCCTAGTCCAAGCAGGCGCACGACTGGGGCCCTCGAAGAGGCTTTGGCCCAAATAGAATTGGACTTTTAAGCAGGGCCAGTGAGGGACCAAGGCCACGAGCTGAAGGGATCCCTAGACAAACCCCTCCTGATGGGGCCGGACGCGGGCGATCTCACCCACACCTACGGGCAGCTGCCCCGGAGAACTGGCTCCCCAGGGCAGCCTGCTGCCCCAGGAGCGCCAGGGCCCTGGAGGGTAGCTGAAGTCTGGGCTACAACTCACCTCGGACCAGGGGCGCCAGCCCTCCGGGAGGCTGGGCCCCCTCCCCCCGCATGGTGACATCATGTGTTTGGGGTTGAGTTGCTGCATAAAAGCAGCCCCGGCGAGCCTGGAGCCCAGGAGCTGAGGAGCTCGCCACAGCGGCCCCTGGGTGCTAGCGGGGTGCTGGCGCTGGTGCACGCCCCGCCCGCCGCGAGCGCCGGGCGGCCGGGAGCCGGGACGCGTGGAAGATGCCCCGTTGCAGCCCGCGCGCCGCCGCCGTCCTCCTGCTGCTGACCCTGCAGGCGCCGCCTTCCAGCTCGGCCCCTCTGAACGGTAAAGTTCCTGCCAGTTGTTTTAGCAGTCTGAGTGGTCAGTCACACCTGGGCAGGGGGATTTCCTGCGAGAGTCTGCAGGATTAAGTAAAGTCACTGCTGGGGGCTTGGGGAAGGCGGTTTATCAGAGAGCACATTTTATTTTTTATTTTTGGAGTACCAGGGATCGAACTCGGGACCTTCCGCTTGCGAGGCAGGAGGCGGAACCACTGAGCTAAATCCCCGGCCCCTGAGAGAGCACATTTTAAAGAAAGGATGTTGGTTTTCCTTTGCAATGCACGACCTGCTGCCGCTGGATGGAGTGGGAAGTACGTTGTCCTTCTAGTGGTGCTTGGCTCACAGTTGTTGGTGTTAAAGTTGTTTGCCTGCTTGCTGAACGCCCTCAGCTCCCTCTGGAGACGTGGCCTGGGAACTTGTAAACCAGGGAGGATTTAAAGTCTTTCCAGGAAGGGTTTGCAGTCGCCCACTGCAGAATGCTCAGTGGAAGTGTTTCCTGGGGGAGAAACTCTTCGCCGTCAAGTTTTACCTCCATGTCAAGGGGATAATGTATCCCATCTTTAATCATTGTTTTTCTGCAGGAGGACTCGGCTGTCCTGAAGGTGCATGTGTGTGCATGCACACGCGCACGTACACCTTTCTGACAGTAATTAGGGCGCTTTACCTGCAGGGCTGGGGCTGAAGGTGCCAGAGTGGGGGGCAGGCCGAGGTGGGGAGGGGGACCTGAACTGTGGGCTCACATCCAAGGCCCGATCAATCTTCAGGAACAAGGAGGCCAAGCTTTCACCTGCATCTCCATCAGCTGGGTGGGCACTTCCCCGGGGAGGAGAAGGTGACCTGTGTGACAGTGTCCTGGGTACTGGTGGACGGTTCTCCCCTGGACAGCTTGCCTCAAGTCGTGGAGACACTTCTGGGTGCTGCAGATCCTGGGCCCAGGCTGAGGTGCAATATTTATGGAGCTGCAGAGGGGCTGTAATGGCCGAAAATCAATTCCTCCTGGAAGGGTAGTGGTGATGAGGAGTTGGTCCAGCTCCGCAGCATCAAAGCCTCCTTCTCTCCAGGAGGTCACTATGCGCTGGGGTAGAGGAGCCGAGCTGCACCTGAGTAGCTGTGGGCCGCTCTTAATTCTGATCTACTGGTGGCCATGATCTGCTTATTATCATCTCCCTCATGTGGTCAGGGAGAAAGGACTTACATAAAGGTGGAAATTAATTTTTAATATTGCAAGCTTTGGCATCTTTTCCTCTCTGGAGAGAGTGGGGTTGAGACGAAAGTACTCTGGAAATGTATTTAGTCCAGAGCTGCTCCAAGACAAGAGAGAAAGGCCATTCATTGGTTTTCTTTCCTGAAAGCTTATGGCTCCCCTCACTCTGGGACAGCCAACCCCATTGTCCTCCTCTCTCCCTTTTCCTCCCAGCTTTCTTCTTCCCCATTCTCCAAGTTGAGGTAAGGGAAGGTTGCAGCAAAAACCCTTTCACCTCACACTGAGCCACCAGTCTACTTATGCCTAGGTTCTACGAACATTTTTCCCCCCTACACTAGGGATTGAACCCAGGGCTTTGCATGTGCTAGGCAGCACTCTACCACTCAGTTACTCTCTCAGCCCATTTAATTTTATGTATTTATTTTGCTTCTTTGAGACAAGGCCTCTAACTCACAATCCTGCCTCAGCCTCCTAACTGTTGGGACTCCACCATGCCCAGCAGTTTTTATTCTGTTATTTACTGTGCGTGTTATTTATTATTTATTCTTGGCTTTTTGAATGCTACAGGGGACAAGGTCAAAGCAAAAATCACTGAGGTGTATAGAATGTCAGTATTAACCCAAGGTTGGGGTGGAGGGGCTGAGTAGTGGAGTCCAAGTGTGCTCTGCCCTCTGCCTAGGCATTGAGACTTGCTGCAGTTGGCACTGGTGACTGTCCAAGCAAAACACCCGGGGTCAAGGGAGGGAGGAGCATGATGTGGTAAAGAAAGCACGATATGGTGGAGCATGATATTCTGAAGAAAACCCTGGGACACCTGGTTGCTGTGGCTAATGGGCATTTCAGTGACTTCTGGCTCTTCAGGGTCAGGCTGCCCAGGTGACTGTTACTCTAGAAGGTTCTAGCACCCAAGCCAGGAAGCAGGCAGGGCCCTGAACAGGCTTGTATCTTGATAAATACCATTTCCTGATGGGATCCCTCCAGGGCACCTCTGTTCTCCATGCTAGTTGGGTCTGCAGGTTCAAACAGGCACGGAGACACCTCTTCCAGAAGGAACAGATGACCTTTTTTGGAGGAGAAGATTCTCCTTTGGGAAACCACTGAAGCTTCGGCAAGGCCTGCATGGATGGTGGAATTAGTTTCATCTTGTTAATACTCCTATCCCTAAAGCTAGAAGTGGGGAACCAGGAGGTGCCATTCCCTAGTTAGGCAAATCCACTTCCCAGTGGGTTGCTGAATGAGCATGTGCACACTTCTAGCCTGTCTTCCTGAGGTTAGACTGAAGCCCACGAGGAATCAGAGTGGACCCTGATCCTCACAGACGAAACCTCAAGAATCACCATTCTCACTTATTTACGGTTCTCCTTCTCCCAGCCTTATAGCCCCTAAGCCCTGCCTGACACTGCCATTTATACCCAAAGTACCACGTCCTGAGGACCACGAAGCCTTGCTCAGAAAGGAAAACAGGGAATGCTGCTACTTTTTGAGTCCTTGGTCTCATGTCACCCCCTGAGGTGCCCTCATGTCCCACAGGTGCCCTCTATAACCTTCACCCGTGGGCTTTCCAAAGTGTTATGTTGATGCCTCATCTGAGGACAAGATTGGGGGAAACCTCAGCTTTTCGAGCTTTGGGAAGCTCTGGGGAACACTGCATATGTACATATTTAGGCTAGCTATTATCTGGGGCAGGGGCATTGTCACCTCCAGGCCAAGCTGGGATGGCTGAGGGGCAGCAGGTGTGTCTTCTAGTGGCCTCAGGGTCTCCCCAGGGTACAAGTGAAGATGAATTCCCCTCTCACTGGGGGAATTTTATATCCTGGGCCTCCAAGTGCTCTCCCTGGCAGAGCAACAAGAATTGGGCTTCCAAGGTCTCTGAAATCCATGACTGTATTTCAGTAGTGAACCTTCAACCAAAACAGTGAAGCAGAATGTCCAGAAAAGATGTTTGCTGTCTTCTGTAGCAGTGTTTTCTTTTCACTATCATTTCAGTAAAAGGGCTCGTAGTAAACTTGATGGTCACATACAAGTTTTGTTTCCCCCTGGTTCTGAATGTTTTTATTCAATTGCTGCTTCAGGGGAGGTAACTGCCGTGGGATCTACAGCAGGTTTGGGGGTAGGGTGTCTGGACCTTCTGAGATTTGTGATACGTGAAGTTTTGTGTATCTAAGCTCGTGGCCATTTTTATGGGGAAAAGGAGGCATATCATCATCAGACACTCTAAAGGGTTTGCACTCCACTGTCTGCTGCTCCAAAGATTGAGACGTAGACTCAAAGGCTCATGGGAACTAATGGTTAATGTGCAGAGGCTCTTTGCACATGTGTGATCTTGGGCAAGTCACTTCACATTAGCAGACTTTAATTTCTTCACCTATAAAAAGAGGGGATGGGCTACAGATATATGAAAGAGAGCTAAATTCTCTCCCAGAGTGGGATGCCAGTAAAGAATGCTGAACATGGGCCAGGGATTTAGCTCAGTGGCACCATGCCTGCCTCGTAAGCACAAGGTCCTGAGTTTGATCCCCAGAAAAAAAAAAAAGAATGCTGAACCCTAAGACAACCACATAGAACAATGTAAGAATGTTTCCCAGAAGATGGAGAAAACATGGAATCATTTTAAAAGAATTCACAGTAGTTGCTCCAGGGAGTAGAGAAAAGGCTAGGGCCTATTAGGGGATTGATATTTGTTTAAAAGTCCTGTAGAGCCATCCTTTGATAAAAATTACCAATTAAATTTGAAAACTGAAAATAAATTAAAACAGAGAACCAAAAAATAAAACAGGATAACAATCATAACAAAATGAGATTAAACCAGTTTAAAAAAATGTGAAGTCCTTTCTTAGCTTTTAAAAACCACCACTGGCTTGAATAGGAAATGTCCCCTTGTGACAAGTGACCAGATTGCTTGCCAGTGATGTTTCACTACAAAAGATTCTGAGTTTCTTCCCCTTCTACCTGTGCCTCTCAACCACAGAGGCCCTGGGAGATGCCAGGGGAAGAGGGGCTTAGGAGTCACATCACCTTTTGGGTGTGTCCCCCTAAGACCCATCGGGAGATGTGTCTCAGCTCAGAGCGAGGGCAGGCAGGGAGACAAGAGCACTTCTTGAAAAACACATTTCTGATGAAGGGGCAAAGGGCCCATGTGGTACAAAGGGTGTGGAGTAGGAGTGTAGGTGACTTTTGCTGTCTCCCTGGCAGAACTGTTCCTCCACATGCCTGCCACCCACCCCGGGGATCCTGACTCTGAGGAGGGCGGCAGCTTTCAGTACACAGTGCTCTGTGTACTGGTGTGGACTGCTGTCCGGGATATGAGGCAGAACAGGGCTCCCAGACTGCCAGTGTGTGAGGAAGAGGGGGAAGGTGTAACGCACCTGTGTGTGGCCATACTGGGAAGGACTCATAGAAAACTGAGAACCGAGGTGTCTCTTGGAAGCACGGGGCGAGGGTGGGTGGGAGAGCTGAGTAGACCCTTTGACCACTTTTTGTTTTTGAGCCATGTGAAATTATTACTTACTCAGACAATAAAATCCATCTTCGCTAAGGTGCCCAGGAGGTGTCTACTCTAGAAGCCCCCTCCTATATCCATGAGCCCCATGTGAACTCCTCATCCTGAGCCATGCAGTTGTCTGAGAAGCCAGGGTCTGGCTCAGACTCAGAAGTTTTAACTTCTGGGCATCCACCTCTTTTTTAATCTCATCCATTTTGAAATCAAATCTATAGTGTCTCCCCTGACACCTTCGGTTCAGTTGTACTAACTTGCTTTGTTTTGTTCTTTGCAGGATCCAAGTGGACCTATATTGGTAAGTAGAGATTTTAAATCTATTTTTTGGAGATGGCAGTATTTAATGAGAAACCCAAAGAGCTCATTCTCTCAGGAGGACGTCTTTGGGGGTCAGAAAAGCTGTGCTGGTATTGTTGAGAGAGAGGATAAAGGCATCTCGAAGGGCTGCATACTGCAATCCCCAAGCGGATCAGCCTGCTCTGAGCACTTGAACTGGGCCACAAGGGTAAGGTTCCAGATTCCTGCCTGGATTTTTCTTTCTTTCTTTTTTGGTACTGGGGATCGAACTCGGGGAACTTGTGCTTGCGAAGCAGGCAGTGGGACCACTGAGCTAAATGCCCAGCCCTCTGCCCAGATTTCTGCTGGCCCTCCAGGTACCTCCAGGCTGCAGGGGCCCTGTGCAGGAGAGAACCTTTCCACTGTGGGGGACATTTACCCAACAGTAAACAAAGAATAAAGGACTCCTTTATGAAAGTTTGGCTCCGGCTCTAGATCTTTTTTTTTTTGGTATGGGGGATCAAACTCTGGACCTTGCACTTGTTGAGGCAAGCAGCAGAACCACTGAGCTAAATCCCTGGCCCAGGCTCTAGATCTTAAGCTGTTAGTGTATCTACAATTAACTTCTGGTTACCACAACTGTAAGTAAGCCATGGGTGAGAGGTGGTGGTCGGTCCTCAGGGAAAGAGATGCTTGTCTCATGTGAGAGAAAGGCATGTCAAGTATGCCCCAGGGTTTCTGTGCGAGTAATCATGAATATGTCAGCTGCCCTGGCAGGCCCTTAAGCCAGGCAGCGGAAGTTGACCTAGCTGTATTGTTGCAGTAGATTGTCAGAGTTGTCACTGGCTAGAGTGGGAATGGGAAGCCAGGCACCTGGACTTCTGGCAAGAGCAGGTAGGTGGATAATGTTCGGATAGGGGCAGTTATAGAGATGCAAAAGACAGATTGTTTTGGTGAGCAAGAGGGTGGCACTGACCTCACTTGGCCCATTTAGCATTTGAAGCAATGACAAATGGCTGTGGGGTGGTGACAGGCAGGGGCATAGAAGTATGGCCCAGGGAATGATCTGGCCTTTCCTTGCAAAGGTTACCCTTGGAGTGTCTGCCACCCTAGAAGGCATAGGAAACTCACTGAACCAACCAGCCACCTACCTCCAGGCCAAAATCCTATTGCTCAGCTCTAGCACTGCATAGCTCCATTATCATTAATGTCTCTTATGCACCTTTTATGTGCAAGGCACCTTTCTAAGTGGGTCGGTAATTAGAAAGGCACACTGTCGTCCGTGGCTGGGAATTACTAAAGTTCATGATTCAAAACGGAATATAGCAGGTAATAATAACAGATGCAAATAAGTGATTCTGTACTCCAGTTGTTCAGAGGAGAGGGCTGGGGCTGGAATGCTTCCTACAGGAAAGGGCTTTCACCTGGTCTGCAGCAGCGGGGATGGTGTGGGGGTGTTCTGATGGCATCATATGAGCAGGGGCAAGGCAGAGCAAGGACAAATTTGAGGGAAGGACATGGAGAGCATTTATAGGAGAGTAATGGGCTCCAAACCAACAGTCCAGGGGAAGCCAGGAGAGGGGGCCAGGAGGGGCAGGGCAGGGAGTAAATCTGTGTTTTAGGAAGAGTAACTGAAAGTGATGGGAGGGGACAGGTGAGAGGGAGGTGGGAGCTGTTTGCCCTTTGCAGGAACTGGGTTCTGAGTCTCTACCTCTAGTGTACAGGGGTGGCAGGAAGAGGGAAGGCCGAGAGATCTGACAAAGGAAGAAGCACCTGAGCTGGGCACAGGGCCTCTGGGCAGGCGTGTGTTGGGGTGGGTGGCATGAGTGGAAAGAAGGTGGGCTTGATTCTGGGCTGTACTCTATGTGATTCTCAGTGACCTGGGGGATGGATCCTCAAAGTTCGGCCTGGGGTCACTGACATCAGAATAACCTGGAATGCTTTCCAAAAATGCAGGGTTTTGGGCCTAGAACTCCTACTTTTTGTATAATAAGAGCAACTTTTTGCTGAGGAAGCAGAGGGCAGAATTTAATAAGGCAGGGACATGCACTGTGTAAGCGCCAAAGCAAATCTGGTGAAATGGGCACATGTGGTGGGGAGGCAGCCTCAGTGGGAACGAGTGGAGGAGTAAAGAGGGAGGCCAGCTCAGGAGGCAGACAGGCCCAGGCTGGCAGCTGGCACCATTGCTTAGGGTCACACAGGTACAAAGAGGGCCCAGCTTAGGTGCTGGGGAGAAGCGGTTTCCAGGCAGTAAGGGCTGTGCTCAATGGGGGAGGTGCCAGGAAATGCCACATGCTGGTTTTCCCAGGGTGCAGAGTACAGCTTCTCTCACACACACACACACACACACACACACACACACACACACATCCACACCACTGCTGAGTCATCCTGCCCCGGGGCTTCCCCGTGATGGGACCTTGGAGTATTTGGAAAGGGAATTCTGCCCTTACCGCAGCACTGAGTCACGAGGCAGCCTGGGCAGGGGAGGACCATCTGGCAGCAAGACCAGCAGCACCCCTGTGCTCCTCTGGGGGAGGCTGATGCCTGCTGGGATTAGGGGGCTGAGGCTCCCTCTTGATCTCAAGAGAGGAAAGGGTAATGAAACCTGGGCCTTCCCACCAAAGCCAGGGCCAAGTTGCTCCTGCTGAGCCCCGGCAGCCTCACCTACTCAGAACTGGAAGTGAGGCTGCAGTCAGGATGTGATGTGAGCTGAGCCAACTCCAGCCTGCTAAGGCGGATCTGTGCCCTTTGGGCAGTGGTAGTGGGATGACTAGAAGGTGGCTTGAAGGTATGGGTCACGTGATCAGTTCCTTGCCACAGGTACTGTGTTCCCTTCGTGAACATTCAGCAAGCTGTTGGCTTATGATACCTGTACTTGTTTATACGTATTTTAGATTCAATAAAAGTTAGAAAGTTCCAGCTGGCTGGGACAGTCATGTTTACCCTGATAGTTTTTTTTCTAGCCTTTCCCCAAGAAAAGAGCAGGAAAACTCAGTGTCTGAAACAACAAGGCAACCAAAGAGCACAGGGATGGTGCGGCATCTCTGATGGGCTCACGTTGGCATCATGCTCCTCTCAGGCATGCTGGTTGAGAAATAGACAAATGCCCCTTGGCACTGGAGATCTGGGACAAGTAAGACAAACCACATAGGCAATGGGACAGCAATGGAACATGAATGCCGGGGCCCCTCCTGCAGGGATGGTGAATCCCACCTCTCCCCAAAGCTACCCCCTCCTTTCTGGCACAGGGAACTCTGGGAAGATGGGGGCTTGGGCTGGAGGTGTCAGGGCTTGTCTGCGGCCTCTCATAGCCGTCCTGCCCAGCATCTCAGCCATGACTCAGTGACTCAGGCACTGCCATGAACTCCTCATGCTGCTGTGCCCACTCCACTCTTCTCCCAGACAATGGATTCTCAGCCTTAAATAATTTCCTTTGGAAATCAGGATGAAATCCTCCACTGGGGCAAACCTCATGTTCATGTCCTCAGGTCTTGCAGGTCCTCTGGCCCCTCCTGGCCCCTACCTGCCTCCTATTCTGTGACTGCTGGAACATGAAGTCACTGCCAATGCCCTTGCCCTGGGGCTCTGAGTACCCTCTTGAACCCCTTCCCAGGCACTGAGAACTAGACTGGAACCCCTCAGAAGAGACTGGGAGGTAAACTCTAGTTCCTACCCTTCAGCGGGGATAAGGCACCAAGTGACCTCATGCCAGACTGCAGGATACAGAGTGCGCCTTAGAGCCAAAGGGAGCAAATGCAATCAAAAGGTTGATTTAATTAAGAGGGGCTCTTGTCTTTCTCAAAGGTTGTGGCATCTTCTGCACTCCCTGAGGATGAATAAGAAGCTCCAACCACTCTCTGGAGAGCAGGCAAAGCCAGGCATATTCTTCATTCCGGGGAACTGAATCCTTATCCCTGCCTCAGGGATTTCCCTAAGGCTGCAGTCCAACACTCTATCATTTATTAAATCTAGGCTACAGTTCCCTTACTTTTAACTGAAGTTGTGACATCCAGGGTCTGTTTGGTGTGGTCTGCCCACTAGTAATTATTTCTCATCTTTCCAGAGTTGCAGAATTGAGGTTTGTATCCCAGAGGATCTTGGCCTGTAGCTGGCAAAACGCCTGCATGTTACTGTTTATAGTTGGCCTTACCAGCTAAATACTGTAAAAGGCTAAGGATGTGAGTACTGGTTCCTAAAGACAGGTGTAGTGGGCTGAGGAGGTGTGGGAAGTGGGGAGGGGGAGTGAGGGAGAAAACCTGAAGGAAGAAATGGGAAGTATAGAGACCTTAGAACCAGGCACACTAGAAGGTGTTCTGGTTGGACAGTCTAAGGAAAGTAACTTGACCTCTCTGAGCCTCAGTTCCTTAGCTGAAATGTAAGTAATAGCATCTGCCTCAGTGGATCTCAAAGTGGGGTCCTGGGTCAGCACTATCAGCATCCCTGGTGACTCCTTGTGTGATATTAGAAATGCCAATTCCCAGCCCCATCCCAGGCCTACTTAACTGACTAGCAGTTCTGTGAGTGGACCTTCCCAATGAGTCTGGTGTGTGCTCAGGTTTGAAAATCACCTGGCCTTCATAGGGCTGTGGTGGGGATCAAACACGGTAATCCATAGGCAGAGGTGAACATAACCCTAATTCCCATTTTCCTTGCCTTTGCCACACAGAACTCTAGTGCTGTGTAAATTAGCTAATGTGAGAGAAAAATGCCTCGTAAAGCCTGGAGTACCAAGGATGGAGCATTCTATTATTGTTAAGAAAGACTTGGCTTCTTCACACTTTTCTGAACTGGGAGTTTTTACAGTCTGAAGATACTCCTTTTATATACTGAATAAACAAAGCTCATTTCCTTGCTTGGAAAGAAAAGGATTGAACAAAACAGAAAGGGTCTAAACTCCTATCCCAAGAGCCCAGTGGGCCAGAATATTCTTTCTAGCTGTGTCCTAGAGCAGGGTGAAGCCTGATGTAATCTCCTGGTGCCTTCCAGGCATTGAGGGGCAAGGTAGTCAGCTCCATAACC